TGTTCCTGACCCGTCTCCGGGCGCTGTGGATGCGCTGGGCGGTGATCCCGAGGGGCAGCTCCAGCAGCGCCAGCAGCGCCAGCCCCGGCGCCAGCCGGACCATGGCCGCACCCTCCACCAGCGCCATTCCCAGGCTCCGGAGCAGCAGGTTGGTCCCCCTCGGCACCGCCATGGACACCAGCGGCACCTCCGCAGAGAACCGCGCCGACAGCTCGGCTGCAGGGTGGGAAAGGAGGTTGGGATCATGGACACGGGGATGGGAATGGCGGGGAAAGATGGGACAGGTGGGATTGGGATGGTGGGAATGGGGTGATAGGATGAAGGTCAGGAGATGGAACGGGATGGCAGGATGGGATGACCGGTGGGATAGGATGGGAAAGAGGATGGTGGGAACAGGAGTGGTTGGAATGGATTGATGGGGATGGGATGGTGGGATGGGAGTGAGAATAAGGACAGGACAGTGCGATGGGATAGTAGGACTGGGATGGGACGGTAGAATGGGAGCGGGGAAATGGGATAGGATGGAAAGGGATGGGATGGTGGGATGAGATAATGGAGAGGTGGGGTAGGATGGGATGGGGATTAGGGTAACAGGATGACAGGGAAAGCATGGAATGGCGGGATGGGGACTGGAGTGACGGGATGGGATGGTGGTATGGGATGGTGGGGTGGGATGGGGACTAGGGTAACAGGATGACAGGGAAAGGATGGAATAGTGGGATGGGGACTGGAGTGATGGGATGGGATGGTGGGATGGCACCGGCCTGGGCCATGCCCCGTTACCTGCTGGCATTCCCTGGAAGAAATCCAGGTCCTGGTGCAGCAGGTGGGAGAAGAGCCGGAGGCGCAGGCTCTGCCGCAGACGCGCCGCCGCCAGCAGGAAGAGCCACCCGCGGCACCCGGAGAACAGGACACTGTGGGGACACGGGGACATCAGGGACACTGGGGACACTGGGGACAAGGGGACACCGGGAACGCTGTGACCCACCTGGCTGCTTCGGCAGCCACCACCATCCCCACAGCTCCAGTGGTGAGTCCGTTCCCACTCCGGACGGCGTCCAGAACCTTCCCGGTGACGTAAGGCCCCGCCGTCTCCGCTGGGCGACACCGACACCGCGTCACCACGGGGGGACCCGATGGTGGGGGTTTGAGACCGAATTCGGGGGGTTCAGCACCCAAATTTGGGGATTGGGACCCAAATATGGGGAGTCAGCACCCAAATATGGGGGGTCAGGACCCAAAATATGGGGGGGTCAGGACCCAAATATGAGGGGTCGGGACCCAAATATGAGGGATCAGGACGTAACTATGAGGGATCAGGACCCAAATATGGGGGATCGGAACCCAAATATGGGGGGTTGGGACCCAAATATGGGGGATCGGAACCCAAATATGGGGGGTTGGGACCCAAATATAGGGGGTCAGGACCCAATTTCTTGGGAGTCAATGCCCATTTTTGGGCATCTGACACCCCATTTTTTGGGAGGTTAAACCCGAGTCTGATGGGTCAGGACACAATTTTTGGGTAGTGTCGGCACCCAGTTATGGGGGGATGGGGTGGGGGGGTCACTATCCAATTTTCGAGTGGTTGGTTCCCAACGTAAGGGGGGCTCAGCAGCCAATTTTGGGATGGTCAGTACCCAATTCTGGGATGGTCAGCACCCAATTTTGGGATAGTCAGCACCCAATTTTAGGACTAAGCACCCAATTTAGTGGCAATCAACACCCAAGCTTGGAAGTTGGGGATCCAATTTTTTTTTTGGGGGGGAGGGGTGGGCAGCTCCCAAAATTTCGGGCCGCTCACCACCCCAATTCCAGCGGGGGGGGCAGCCCCAAACCGGGGGGAGTTCAACACCAAATTTAGGGGCTCTGCACCCCAATCTGGGGCTGCAGGATTTGGTTAATAGGGGGTTCATCGCCCTCCCCGTGCTGTCACCCACCGGCGGCCGCCACCATGAGGCACAGGAAGGCGGCTCCCAGGACTTTCCACTCGGAGCAGGTCAGCGCCAGGACCCTCCAGATGCCTCCAGGAACCTCGGGGACACCCCCGGGAGCTTTGGGGACACCACCCAGGGCACGGGGAGCGTCCCAGGCCAGCAGGGCCAGCGCGGCGGCCGCGTGGGTGACCCCGAGCCAGGCGGGTGCCGCAGCCGCCAAGAGGCCGGGCCCGGGGCCGGGCAGGCCCAGGAGGCTCCGCAGGGCCGTGAAGGCCGCAGGGGTGACGGCGATGGTGGCCACGGCGGCCGTGGTGGTGGCCCCGGGGGGACAGAGAGGGGACAGGAGCCGGGGGGCTGCAGCCAGGAGGGGCAGGCGCAGGGCAGCCTCGAGCCACGCACCCGCCGGGCCCAGCCGTGCCAGCGCCGGCACCAGCGGGCCCAGTAAGGACAGGGACAGGGCATCGGCCACCAGCAGTGCCCCCAGGAGCAGCAGGGAGGGAGGCAGTGCCATGGGGGGATTGACAAGGACCAGTGCTCCCAGTATGAGTCCCGCTATGACTCCCAGTACGGCTCCCAGTAGGGCTCCTGGTGTGGCTCTCAGTGGGGTTTGCAGTAGGGCTCCCAGTACGGCTCCTGGTTGGGCTCCCAGTATGGTTCCCAGTACAGCTCCCAGGGGGGTCCCAGTGGGGTTCCCAGTACAGCTCCTGGTACGGCTCCTGGTGGGGATCCCAGTGGGGGTCCCAGTACAGCTCCCAGTACAGATCCCAGTATGGCTCCCAGTGGGGGTCTGTGCGGCTCCTGCACTGGGGTTTAGCAGCCTGTGAACTCACCAGTTAACACCAGTTAGGCTCCCCAGTCCACACCAGTGCTCCCAGTCCAGCTAACCTCAGCTCCCCAGTCCACACCAGTGCTCCCAGTCCAGCTTCCTCAGCTCCCCAGTCCACACCAGCCCCCTCAGCTCCCCAGTCCACACCAGTGCTCCCAGTCCAGCTCCCTCAGCTCCCCAGTCCACATCAGCCCCCTCAGCTCCCCAGTCCACACCAGTGCTCCCATTACAGACTGGGCCACTCCCCAGTTCACACCAGTGCTCCCAGTAAAGCCTCCTGAGCTGACCACCAGTCTACACCAGTGCTCCCAAGTACAGACTGCAGTGCTCATGAGTAGAAATCAGCGCTCCCAGTACAGCCCCTCAGCTCCCCAGTCTACACCAGTTGCTCCTAGTATGGACCCCTGAGCTCACCAGTCCACACCAGTGCTCCCAGTCCAGCTGTACCAGCTCCCTAGTCCACACCAGTGGTCCCAGTTCAGGCTCCCAGAACGCTCCGTTCTCCCCAGGCCACGCCCAATACCGCCCTGGACCCGCCCCGTTCCGCCCCGGCCCCGCCCAGACCCCGCCCCCGTTTTGGCCCCGCTCCCCTCCCATTCACAACCTGCTCCGGCTCCCTCTGCCCGGTAACCGATGACGTCAGTACACCATTGACCAATCAGCACCGCAGTGGTGGGTTGTGGGCGGGGCCACCCTGGGATTCCCGGGGATTCCCGGGGCGGAGCCTTCGGCTTTCCGGGAAACGGCGGCGGCTGCCGGGAAAGGAGCAGGAGGAACCAGCGGGCCGGGACACCGGGACACACCGGGAAACACCGGGATATACCGGGAAACACGGGGATATACCGGAAAACACCGAGATATACCGGGACACACCGAGATATACCGGGACACACCGAGATACACCGGGGTACATCGGGGTACACCGGGACTCATCGGAAGACACCGGGACACACCGAGATACACCGGGATACACTGGCACTCATCGCGATACACCGGGACCTGCCGGTAGCGGGACCGGGATCCCCAGGGACCCACCGGGAGCCACCGGGAGGGGACCGGGACCCACCAGGACCCACGGAAAGTCACTGAAAGCAGAACCAGGACCCACTGGGACTCACGGGGAAGAGAACCAGGACCGACCGGGACCCACTGGGACCCACCGAGACCCACCGAAAGCAGAACCAGGACCCACCGAGACCCACCGGGACTCACGGGGAAGAGAACCAGGACCGACCGGGAGCCACCGGAAGGGGACCGGGACCCACTGAGACCCACTAGGACCCACTGAAAGCAGAACCAGGACCCCCCCGGACCGGACCTGGCCCCCTCCGCGCCCCCCGCCCCCCCCGCGATGTTGCCCCCCACCAGCCGGCGGCTCCTGGCCCTGCTGCTCCCCGAGCGCGGGCGGTGGGCGCTCGTGGGGGTGCTGATGGCGGCCGCGGCCCTCGGTATGGGGGGATCCCGGCTCGGGGGGGGCTCAGGGCTCAATTTGGGGGGGGCAGGGCCCAATTGGGGGAGAGCAGGACCACTTTTAGTTGGGGCAGGAGCCGACTGAGGGAGTGGCAGGACCCCACTGGGGGGGAAAAGACCCAATTAGGGGGGACAGGGCCCGACTAGGGGAGGGAAGGACACGATTGGGGGGGGCAGGACCCGATTTAGGAAGGGCAGGACCTGATTTGGGGGGGACAGGAGCCAATTTATGGGGGAACAGAACCCGACT